CCGAAAAACACCAACGAGACCGGTGTGAATGAACTTTGTTGACCCCGACAACCGACGGTCCCCGACACACGCGCTACTCACACGTACGAGGTCATGTCACGAAATGCAAATGAGCGTTTGAAACTAGGCCGATTTTAGTTGAAATAACGTACGTGAGTCAACTACTAGATCTAGATTCGGCATAGATGCTTTAGAAAATAGCGTTCCAAGTTCCCGCAGATAAAAAGTCCAATCGGTATTTCCAAACAAAAGAGATTGCAGAACTTTTTATATTTTTTTCTAGGAATCGGACACAACAGACGCAACAACAAAAAATCAGGATACCGGCGATCGAAATCGGGATGTTTGAGATTTGGGGCAAAAAATCGGGATATCCCGATTAAATCGGGATGAGTGGCAGGTCTATATATTACGATGTAGAAGGTAATCATCATCATCACTATCATCATTATCATCATCATCATCACCCTGGTAATTGGATATAGGCCACCAAGAAGGGCTCTCCGTCTGTCTCTGTTCTGGGTGACCCTCTCTACCTCCAGCCAGCTGTGCCCCATATGCCTGAGATCTACCGCCAGATCTTGTTCCCAGGTGGGTCTTGGCCTTCCTCTCATCCTCCTCCTTTGGAGATTCTATCTTGAGAAGGTAATCCCAGCAGTGAAAACATTTATATATGTCAATCCACATGTGTCCTATCTGTGAGACGAGAAATCTGGCTACATTTATTTATGCCAATCCACATGTGTCCTATCTGTGAGACGAGAAATCTGGCTACATTTATTTATGCCAATCCACATGTGTCCTATCTGTGAGACGAGAAATCTGGCTACGTCTATTTTTTAAAATATAGTAGAGGGTCTTATGGCGCATCAGGCGTAAAAAGGAAAAACAAAAATAAATGAAAAACAAAATCTGTTTACCTTATTGGCTTTCTTCTCCAAAGACTGAATCCTGAAGTCGGAGTCGTGCTGGTATTCCTTTTTCTCTCGTAGAAAGTCTGATTTCATCTGTTGGATACGTTCAGTATGGTGGGCCCTCATCTGCATGACTTGTCGCTCAAGGTCTCGGATCTTGCTCAGCTGGTCTGTTTGTAAATCCTGTGATTCAAAAAAATCTTATGATTGGCAATGTTTGTATGTATGTCCATAAAATACAATACTGCAGTGAATCATCAGCTGGTCTTCAATTTCTATAAATCATGAGAGAAAGCATTTATTTTTTTAAAACTCA